GCCGTGAAACCTTTGAATGGGAGTAGTAATAGGGGATTTAATTGAATGTGCCAATAAATAGAAATTTTGCCAACTACCAACCGACAGACAATATTGTAAACAATACGATTTAAATCCATTTTATCCGCCGGCTAGAGGGTTCTTCTCGAGATGACGAACTTCTCTATTCTAGTGGATTTTGCAATGAATGATAAAGGGAACTGGGGTAAACTGTCTGAAAGCTTCAGTCCTACACCGCAGGTACGTTTGTTGCCGGTTCCCTGATGGTTCGATATACAGGACGCTATGTCGTTGTGAAGAGCTTCGTGGCTCAAGTTGTGACTAAATTTGCTAGCTACTAAAACAGCCTCTACGCCAGATCCACAAGGTCGACTGGCAACTATACTAGGTACCTGATATGGCCAAGTAATAGAAGAGAGCTGCGTAAAGAAGCGACGGCATCAAGCAGTCATGACTAAAGCATTGCACCACCTCTTGCAGCACTCCAAGTCGTTTCATTCGTCTGAGAAAAGAAAGAGTCATTGTGAATTTGGCAACCATAGATGAAACTTATGAATATGGTAAAAAACATTAACTTTACACTAAGATACTTCAGTTTGGGACCAGGTGTAAAAGTCGTAGCATTTCCGCCGGTGACCCGTCGATTGTTCAACCGTTCCTGTGGCATAGGTTTCTGCCTTGCCGGATGGAACGTGATGTCGACCGACTTTTCAGCATTTGCCATCAGTCCAGCGTTGGTCGACCATGAGATGATTTGGTGTACTCTTGTACTCTTGTTAGAAACGTATTCTCAACAGAAAGAATGACAGTATCATTTGAATATCTAACGCTTGTTCCAAGGCGGCATTCACTGGTGTAGAGTGTGAACAGAATCGACGATAGAACCGAGCCCTGTGAAAGGTCTATTTTGCAGCGCTTCACCGTGGACTTGCGAAAATCGATGGTGACATATTGACGGAGGCGTTTACATACGTCGCAAGGAGACGAACGATGCGAAGATGTACGTATTTTGACGCCAGGCAATTTGTCAAACTGCCGCGAGGGATTTTATTAAAAGCTGAGGTGCGATCGAGGAACGCCGCCTCTGTAAGGCTGCAGCCGTCATCGATACTCCATGAAACGTTATTTATGAGCATCGCCAGTGTGTCAGTAGTGCAGCGATCGTTTTTAAGCTGAATTGCTACAGATCGATATGCTGATCTACAGAGTCTTTGAT